ACAAACTCCAGCTGACCAGAATTAAAATATATTGATCTTATCAAAGTATCATGGTCCTTGCTCTCATTTTTTTCCTACTTTTTTTCCTCCATCATCAAACTGGCTCCATGATAATTTGCGTTTACATTGGATTTGTGTTCACTCAGTTCCTGCCTGGCGCCCCTCTGGAGTCTGTCATTGGCCCACTGTTCGGCTTCAGAATGCCCATGAGAATGCGGATGAGCCAACGGTTGCAGAGATTAAACGAATGTCCCCATTAGATTGGCGTAACTCTAGGCTAATGTAAATCACGTGTCACTGATCCAATGACATGTTCAGCTCGAACATTTATCAGATTAATCGAGTAAAAGGTCAGCTTTAGTCTGGGTCCTTCTCCTAGGCACCACGGGGGGTTACCTTAGACAAGATGCCAATACAGACGCTCCTCTACTTACGAACTTCCAACTTGCGAACTTTCAGATATACGAAGAGGAGTGTAAGTCCAAATTGTGTTAGTTGGGCTCCTGTTTCCTGTCCGCAACATCAATTTTTTTTTTCTGCACGCCAGTTCCGCCTAGTATGACTTCTGGCCGCTACTCCCGCCGCGCAGCAGCGCGACAAGACGGGAAATGCAATCCGTTTCGGCCTATCACTGTGTATGAGTGTATTATGATCTATGGGACTCGAAGGATTATTTCGTTAGTAGCTCCCAGCATCCTACTTCTTTGTACTTGCGTATACCCTTAAAATGATGTTAAATAACGACTTACGAACATTTCAAGTTACGAACAGACGTTTGGAACGTATCTCGTTCGTAAGTAGGGGAGCGTCTGTATCTGAATAAAATTTTGTTAAATTTAAGGTCGCTAATAATTACAGAGTTTCTTCAAGGGAAAATTTGGTTTAGCTTTATCGTGGATAAAAGTAATATGGAATTAAGTTTAATGTGAAAAGCTTTGCAGTCCACAGCAGCTGAACAATATACAAGCGCCAAAGAGGCAGAGTGGAACTCACCACAGACAGTTTGCCTGAGCAGTCAGAGCTGTAGGAGAAAAGGACCCCATCTTTCACCAGGACGGCAACTGCTCTCAGGATGAAGGAGAAGAAGAGGTTCAGGTGGATGAAGTTCCGCGTGCAGTGCAGCTTCCTGTGGTGATGACACCCAAGCACAAATACTGTAGGGTGGGCACTATTCAGTTAGTTGACTGAAAGGTTGCTGGTTCAAATCTACAAGTTCATTGAATCCTTCAAGGCTTGAATAGGTTGTCCTTCTGTTTGACTTAAGAAAATTCATTTTCTTTAGCTAAGAAATCTGCCTCAAACTTACCTGAAGAGACAGAGGATGGCACTTCCTGTGGTGAGTGCGATGAGGGACAGACTGTGTCCCAGAGTGTACAGGGTCTTCACCACCGTGTAAAACATAAGCTACGAGAGGAAAGGAAGTCAGTCACGTTTAATCTCGCCCTTGGATGACTGCATGCAGCTTTCTCCCACACTGAATCCATTAGCACACCTGTAGAAATTACCCCACCGTGTAAATATTCTAAAGTGATTCATTGACATTGTTGACACATACATCACAACAAAATGCATCCTCTGCATTTAAGCCATATGTGATATAGCAGGGGGCAGCTATTATTTAGCACCCAGGGAGCAGTGCATGGCGGGGGGGGGGGGGCACCTTGCCGGTTGGGGATTCAAAACAGCAACCATCCAATCACAAGCGCATTTCCCTAACCACTAGGCCACCATGGCCCCCACAGAAATGCAACAATATGGCTGCAATTAAACAGCGACTACTGCATATCAATGGTCATCATTTTCAAACACTCAGTATGTAAACGTTGACTTCTTTTGGCCCCCGTTACCATAGCAACACAACTGTTGGGACCCAAAGCCTTTCCGGCATCCTCTGAGACATATACACCGAAAACATCGACCATAGAGTCTTACACATCAAAGGCTGACTCTCTCCGTCTTATCTGACAATGGTGCCAATATACCATAAATGTCATGGGGACTCAGCCAGTCTGCGGTCACATCTCACCCCCCATCACTGAGCCTTTATCGCTAGCGGGGGGCATTGAGTGTGTAGGGAGCCTTTCCTTCAAGTCAAACACCGTGGGGGGGGTGCAGTCGTCCACCTTCCTCCTCGCACCCGCTGTTTTCTTTTCTGAGTGACCAGGGAGGCTCCTTACAAAGTGGCAGAAGGTTTCCCCTCGCTGGCTCATGAAAAGGTCGCGACCCCACAACCCCACAGCTAATGTCCACCTGAGCTGACTTCGTTCCTCTTTCTCTTTTTGCTGCTGAGATTCAAATAAAAATGCATTTTCTAATGAGTAGTAAAGTAAATACATTAAATCATTCATTATTACTATCATTATTATTATCATCATCATCATCATTAATAACAACAACAACTATAATAATAATAATAATAATAGTAATAATAATAATAATGCCTGAGACTCTGATAGTGGTTCATAGATGGATGGATGGATGGATTAATTATCTTAATTAGGCTGCCTGATTTACAGTTTACAGCAAACTTCCGCAACACTGCTACTGTACGTCCACTTTCCATTTTTCTAAGGCTTATCAGATGTAGGTTGACGGCAGGCCTGGGGTCTATCTCAGGAAGAACAGCGCAGCCAGGGACGTGTAGAAGCTGATGCCCGTTTTCACTGAATTTCAACGGATGCAGTGACACACTGGAAAAGGCCAACTGCGCTGTAGCTGCGGGAACTGGGGGTGTCTCTGAAAACTGCGGGTCCACTTCCTGCGAGGGAGCTGATCTTTGGGGAATGGGGGTGAGGGGGGGTCATCGACCACTGCCAGCGGGGGCCAGGGCCTTTGACCCAGTTCTGCCACTGCAGGACCAGGACTGGGGGGGGGGGACTGAAACATCTCATTTCATGCTCCAACCTTGTCGTTCAATACTGGCTCAAAAAACGATTCTGAAACCCACTGGCACACGTTGTTCTTCCATGTTCTGCAGCTGGGAGGGGTTCCGAGATCGACCGGCTAATCAGTGACTGTGTTAACAAACACAACCGGTACAAGAATTCAAAATGTTCTCCATGTGGGCTGCTGAGAGAGTGACTGGTGGGCTTTGGGGATGCTTTATATGACAGTCCTGGCAGTGTGATTACGCAGCTGGAGCCCGGAGCCCGGAGCAGGGCCCTTAACCCCCGACAGCTATATCGCTTTGGATAAAAACGTCTGATAAATAAATAAAATGCAAAAAAAAAAAGAAAAAAGCCAATAAACTAAGCCTAGACTGGTGAGGATACCGCTTCATACTCCGCTTCATACTCTCCACATACTCCATGGATCTCAAAGTTTTAAATAAGACTTTCTCCTGAGGGGAAGCATTATTAAACCTGTAAGACAGGGCAACACAGAGAACAGCCCGGCCGTCTCCAGGGAACAGGGTCAGGTCTGCATTTTTTATAACCTCCAAGCTAAAAATTTTACATATATATATAAATACAGTATATATAACATCACGTTCTGGTTGGAGGAGGGTAGGACTGAGAAGGGGAGGTTTGGGCCTACAGGCTGTGGATGGGCACAGATGGCATCTCAGCTGCAGATAGATAGGGATGTACTTGGAAGAGAAAAGGAAACTCAGAGACTGGAGAATGTGTGTGAAACACTGGCAGAAACAGCCCCTTGATAGGCTGCTGTTTTCACACTGACCCTGTCACTCCATCGCTGAGCTTAAGCAGAAACATTTAATGAGGGAAACTGATGAGGCCTCTGAACCTGAATTGTAAGCTGCGTGAGCAGTTTTGGGCAAATCCTATAGGTGGGTCAAATCAGATGGGCTCCTCTGACCCTAGGCGGGGTCGTGAACCAGGTGACGTCGACCTACATCGATCAGCTCTGCCGCAGAGCTGAGCCATGGCTGCGATGCCTGTGTTGCACCCATGAATGGTAAATGGACTGCATTTATATAGCGCTTTTTACCAAAGCGCTTTACACATTCACCCATGCAAGGTGCCAACCAGCTCACCGGGAGCAATTTGGAGTTCAGTGTCTTGCTCAAGGACCCGGGGCTCGAACCTGCAACCCTCCGGTTGCCAAATGGTAGCACTACCTCCTGCACCACCATCGCCCCTGACTAAAGTCGCTCCATGACTAAAGTCAGTAAACACGAGATCATTGGCAGGAGAGTGACAGCAACGCTGCCTCATGGTGTGTTTCCCCGCGTCCATGGAAACCACACGGAGACCGAAAGAGGACGGCATGAGACGTGTGACATCATCAGCAGGGTTTACGGAAGGCCTCCTCACCCCCCAGCATAAACACTGCGGGGCAGCATCAAGACAGCCCAGACATTAACCGTTTATGAGCTTTTCTCTCGATTGGGTTCCTCTCACAGCCCGACGCGGTGGACGATCATCGTGACGCCGACGGCGTTTGTTCACTATGCAGACGGATGGCACTGGCAGCACATGGCCTCGAACCCGCCTCACTCCCCGTGTGCCACACCCCAGATCGATCCTATTTCCCACACACACCTTATCTGGCCGCTCCTCGGATCCACAGACACTGGCTACGGCCGGGAAGACGTCGGACCAGCCTTCCGCCGTGCAGTTTTTGCTGATGTTTCCTGGAGAGAAGCAGATAAGCCATGTCAATCTCACCTGACCAGCTCCATCTCCAGAGTCTCCCTAAACCGCTTATGGTCTCAACCGAGTATGATCACCAGATTAAGGAGAACACCCTCAATTCCAGGACAACGCCTGCAAGGACACTTCGTCTTGTTCTGCTTCCAATCTCTGTATTGAGCATAGAAGGCACCAGATTTCTTCCCCTCACGTTTCATTTACGGTCAGCTTCACAGCTCTGAAGGTATCACCGTGCCACCATCACCTCAGCGTGTTCCGTCATTTACACGAGGCCTTATCTGCTGGAAGCAGTCGCGGCACCTGGCCAAAGCTCCCCTCACGGCGGTGGTCGAGTAAATATCTTACTGAATCAAGGCTGGCAAGCGAGGCAGAACAAATATTTAATGTCTGCCCCGGCTGGGCATGGAGGAATATGGAGAACGTCTCCTGATGTGCAACATGAGGGCACTTAAAAGGGGAATGTAAACTTCACCAGCCATCTGTTTAGGTCTTCCAGAACTTCTGCTAGAGGATGGAGATGGGAAGCAGGTCAAGTCGTGGTCCTCAAACAGCTATGGTTTTAATCTATGCAACATCCAAGACTGACATGTTGGGTTTGCATCAAACAATGCACTCATCCCCAAGAAACTACTACTCGACACTCTACCCACAATGCATGTGTCATAGAACAACTACATTTCCATAAAATCCCACAATGCACTGTTCCAAAACTGCTGACAGCTTGGGAAATTCTATCCCACAATGCATTTAGGTACCAGACATGGCTCCATTCAGACTGTTCTTGCCACCTCTGTGTTATCTGGTCTACCATAGAATGTTTGATCTCTTGTTTTCCAACAGTGAATGGGGGGTGCATGAACAGGATTCATTGGTGAAAGGCAGCCGTCACAGAATAGGACTTATAGCTCTAACTTTCACTGCTAACAGATTCCATCGAGATTGATTCAGTGCACTGTGGAGAAGAAGCATTGACCAACTTGAAAACAACGTAAAATCCAGACCAGGCTGATATCATACATTTCCCTGATGCTCTTCCACTGCGACCCCCCCCCCCCCCGGACCCTGACCTTCTGGGAGGGAGGGGCCGATCATTGATAACATTGGGATATGAAGAAAATAGGCAAAAAAGCACAACTGGAAGGAAGGGGAATATTAAATCGTACTGGAAGCCATGAATTTTGGGTGGTCATTTAGCAGTGAGAAAACGAACGGAAATTAAAGATACGAACAGAACAGCGGTAAAGCTGAACTGTGTGGCTCTTACTCTGTCGAAACCTTAAAACCGAAAATGACTCGAGATGACCGAGAGAAAGAATTCTCCTCAACCCAGAGCCTGTTCATTAGCATCTACCATACCTGCCAACATTTCGCTTGCAAAATATGCGAGTCTTTCTTTGTCGGGGGGGATTTTTCTCTGTTTATGTTAATTCGTTTAGCTAGCTAATTCATTTAGTATTCCACTGGCCTGCTGGCTATGCAGACAGCAGCTGTGCACGGGGGCGCCGTATGGGAGGGGGGGGGAGTTAGGGATTCCAGGGGCCCCCGAGTGACTGCGGCCCTAAATAATTTGAGACATAATCCAATTGATCTGGGTTGGGGGCCACATATAATATGCTTTCTTGGGGCCCAAAATCTTTAGTGTCACCACTTGCCGTACACAAAATAATAATGAATGAAATTTACGCAGCGCAGGGTGATGCGCCATCGTCACGGTGACGCAGCAGGGAGCACGGTTTTCACAACGCTCTTCACTGCATGACACGGGTCAGCACGCCCTGTGACCAGAGTGGGCTTGACTCATCCGGCCTCTGGTCCAGCCCAGGGCCTAGTATGGTGCGGCCTACAGAGTGACATTGGCCCTCACTGAGGACGAAAACAAAAGCGGCACCACAAGAAACCCCCCCCCCATAAAAAACATCCAGTATGAGAAACGTGACACGCCCGTATTCCATAACAGAACACAGGAAGGATGTAAAATACAAAACAGATGCAATATTTCACATATTATCACTGGGGAGGGGCATCATTGGTATGGTCATCCTGGTCCCTTGCAGGTGCCCCAAGCATCAAGACAATCAGGAATCAAACCCCACCTCCCAAAAAAAATCTCACACTACGTGTTGTACCTGTTAACATATCAAGGGTGTAGATTTGGGTACGGAGGGTAGGAGCCCCTGCCGATATCACAGAAGCCCCTGCGGATATCACAGTAGCCCCTGCCGATATCACAGAAGCCCCTGCCGATATCACAGAAGCCCNAGCCCCTGCCGATATCACAGGAGCCCCTGCCGATATCACAGGAGCCCCTGCCGATATCACAGAAGCCCCTGCCGATATCACAGGAGCCCATGCCGATATCACAGGAGCCCATGCCGATATCACAGGAGCCCCTGCCGGTATCACAGGAGTAGCATGTAGGTTTAGGCTGGACTGATTCTGTCCCAGTGCTGACACCAAACCGACGCCCTCGGAAGACGTGCATTCATTTCACTAGAGTGTGAGCATAAGGTTTGCGGAGAGGTACCGTTTCGTCCGAACAGGCTCCGGAGCACCTGGGGGCAGGGAATGGTGATGGTCTCCCCCACCTCGGCATGGTGCCAGCAGGATATGTTATCCCAGAGGCCTGGGCAACCTGGAACAAGGACACCATCAGCAAGAGGGGTTAGGGGACACATCTCCACCTGCAGCACCCGAGGCTCCATGCGGGCTTGTGACTGTCTGGAGGTTCTGTGTGGGAATGTCACTATCATAAGTAAAAGGTTCCTGGGGATTCTTTCCACAAGCTAATAACGTTAGATAACATCATTTGATACTACTGGGGTCATAAATGGACGTGGGGAATTTACACCGTGGTATGAAATGGGGGAAGAATCAATCTTTGCATATAAGTAGCCCCTAAAGTGGCCAACGTAACATTTACGTAATCGTGACGACCGTGAAGCGGCAGGTGACGCTGCCACATCGGTAGCGGTACTCACGCAACGTTTACAACATGTTTCCACGGCGACAGCAGTGCAGCTACTGCAAGCGGTTGGATCAGAAAAACTTACATAATAAAAACTCACTGCAGGACACACATGTCTGGGATCAAACAGCATGCGTGACCTGGGCTCCAAAATATTTAAAAACCGCCTCGTTAAATTGGTCTGTTGGCAGCTGCTATTCCAGGCTTTGTTTGGGATGGTGGCTGGGCGTGCCAAGTTCCAGGCTGAACGCGGACTGGGTGATCTTAGGCCTGCCGACCGGGGTTCGGCTAACGGGGGGCAGACGCGGCCCCGTGCTCACGGCCGAGACGTGAGCCTGCCACCCATGGATCGATGGGGGTCGTGTCTTTGCCGTGGAAACACAGCGGAGTTAAATATAGCTTAAGAAACAAGCCACTACAGGCGAATCCCCCCCTCGCCCCTGGGTGTGTCTAGAACAAACACACAAAGCAACCGGGATTTAAACTGCAGCTGGCTGGCGGAGGTGCGTGTCGACGTGGTTTTCATACATGCCAGTGTTGAGCATATGGGTTCCATTCACGCGAAAATCTTGCTTACACTTCATGACACCATATTCTACAATACTTGATTTACACTACACTAAATCTCCTCTTTATTCGACCTGGTAAGTCATCCGTGGATCTACTGTTTAGTTCCATCTCAGCAAAGACCTTATACTGGGACGCACGCTGGTGTGGTTTGACAGTTAACATATTTGTGTGCGTGTCTGTCATCGGCCTCATACAGTTGAACTATTTTTAAACAAATAGTTTTTTTGTCATTTATTACATCTCCAGAAACAAACAGGATGTTCATGTCACAACAAAGCAATCAGTGGGAAACAAAGCACGATTCCAAATGAGACGAGCCGCCGCCATGGCAACAGGACACGCCCCTTTCTCCTTTGAATCTGCAGGACGAAGGCGATCCATCTACCAAACTGGACTTTTCACTCGAGAATCACTGCACAAGAACTTAGTCAAGGAGGACGACTTCGAAATGTGCGTGCAAACAAATGCACGGGCCCTAAGATCATAAGCAAACGTTTATCACATCTCTCGCATATCTTGATCTGCAGAGGCATATGACCTATATTGAATACAGCAGCCAGTTACATCTGGGAGGCCCGTAAACACCTGCAGATCCATCGCCGTGGAAAGCGCACGACGGCAAACAACCTGCAGGGGCCGGCGGCCCGGCCGCATTCAGCCGCGCATGGCAGTCCTCTTCCTCCCTCTGCAGCTCCAGCAGGAAGTTACACTTGGGGTGAATCCCTGCGACCTGCGGAAAGACAGGCAGCTGGTTAGTGCCAATGCAGAACACAGAGTCACATCTGCACCACTTTTACACGACGGCTCTTGTAAACAGGACTGGCTCCCTCCTTTTATCAGACTGCCTCACTTCGGCGCCCCGTTTTTCCTTAACGTTCAGAGAGCGAATTGCCAAAATCAAATAAACGACCATCATGACATGTTTTGAATACAGCGGCGTGAGAGGAACAAAACAGGAAATGAGGGACATGCAGACCAAGATGTGAATTCTGTTTCTGCGCTCAACTCAGACCCCAGAAATATTAATAACTGGAGATTGTTTCGTGTATGGAACTGGAAATGGACCGTATGTCTGATGTATGGAGGGGACTTTTAAAGCACAAAGGGTCTAATTTTGTAAAGAACTCTGATAACTTCAGGGATTGCATGTAGATGCAGATCTTGAAGAAAAAAAAAAAATCTAAAAATCTTGACTCTAGATGGTCACATGAAACTTCAGCCAGTACTGGAAACCAGCAGGTCTTGGGGGCATCCAGCGAGGAGAAATCATGCTGAGCCAAGCCCTTCGATATGTGGTGGAGTTATAGGACTTCCATAAAAGGAGATACTGATGGCAACAACTGAACAGACAGTGAAACGTCCAGGACAGAGATCATGCGGAGCCTTTCTCAGATCTGACCGAGTCTTATTAGTACTACAAGACGCACGCCTGAGTGCGGTTAGGTGAACTGGGGTCCGCATGGCCCATAGTCAGAGCCCCCCCCCCCCCATATTTTTCGATATGGGGACAATCCCATTAAGTATGGGACAGGTAACAACTGTAGGTTTAAATTTATATTAGATGAGGTTAGTTCAGGAAACCCTGGGTTTCTGGCCAGTTAAACCTGTGCATTAAAGCACCCCTCTCTATTGTATATGTATGTGCCTGGGTGTGTGTGTGTGTGTGTGTGTGGTCTGCCATGGACTGGCACCTCACCCAGGGTGCCCCTTGCCCTGTGTTTCCTGGGGGAGGGGGGGTAGTGCCCAGAGGAGAGCGTGTCTGCTCTCTGTAAAGCTCACAGTAATCCAAAGCCCCCGGGGGTGTTAGTTCAATTCCGGCCGGTAGCGGAGTCACGCGACAGGTGAGCGGAGGCGTGTTTGTGTTTGTCCGCCAAGCCGAGTGGGGCATTTATTTTTTTTAAAAAAAGAAAGAACAAATTTAACAAAGATTAAAAGGAGCGGCCGGCAGTGAGACAGCTGTCCCTCCGCGGCTGCGGCCTGGACTCCATCTGTCCCGGGCAGATGTGCTCCTCCTGGGCCTCAGCTGCTTCGTAACCTTGCTCTTCCGCAGTCACTGTATGCTCTGGCCCAGGGCAGCCAGCCCGCCTGTACCCCCCCACCCCACCCGCCCTCCAGACATGTCCAAAATGAGAATGCATTTCTGACTGATTCGCAGATCGGCCGTGACCTCGGGAGTTTTTCCAGACAGGCAGACAGGGCCCCTCAAACAAACCCTAACCTCCCTAAATGCCGGTCTGTCCTCATTTACTGTTGCCCTAGTCCGTCTCTAGCAGCCTATATGCCTTCATTAAAGCGCTATGTTGTTCATATCCGGTATAATCCGTTCTGCAGACCCAGCCTGTGCAGGGAACAGCGCTGCTATGTTTTTAAATGCTTACTTCTTCACTGTTCTTCCACGCACGTAGTTATTACATGTAGTTTTTTTTTTTTTTGCAGTTTTTAAGTTTTTAAACGCACGATTACAGTTGTGGAGCTTTCGAAAGCGCAATTAGATAGATACAACGACCTTTCAATCTGCTGGAAGCGCCGTATCTTTGACAGCATCAGGTGAACATTAACGCCGTGGATGGAACCTCTGCATGTATATGAAACGCGCGCAAACGCAGCCGCAGACTGATCTCCCGTATCGCAAAAATACACGGACCCACACAGACGTGTAGCGAAACATCCTACGATCAAATTAAACCTTTGTTACGTAAATGTCAAAGTTACGAAGCATATGATACGAGATGTAGAATAAGACCGATATGTTTAGCCTATATAATAAGGCAATTAATACTATTAATTACGAAGACAAATGTGTTCGTGACAATGGTTTCTTTTATTCTGGCCCCACAATGCCTATACATATAACTGCTGTAAATGAACATTTTATTACTGTATAGGCGCTGCTCATTGCGAAACTTTATACTCTGTCAAAAGCCATCCTTGCGCAACACCAATGATTAGGCTAGATTACGGAGTGCAATGTAATAATTACATTTTATTACAGTTAAATTAACCTGCAAGTAATTATTTCTTACTCAAAATTGTAAGACGCCTGGAAGGAAAGATCAAGTAGTCAGACAAGAGTAGAAAGCCTTTAAAACGCACGGTTAGTTATAAAGCACGTTTTTTGTAGTTTGCTTTGGTAGGCTACATGAGCTACCCTCCTTGTCTATGGTGATTTACCTAAAGGTAACAGTTTATTATCATAAACTCTTTCATTAAGGGGCGTCTGCCTCCTCAGTTAAAAGCACTACCTTCAGGACTTCGTTGACTCGGGGGTTCTCTGTTCACACGCCATAATCTGTGGCTCTTAGACCACTTGTGTGCGAAAGGCTGTGATGGAGGAGCTCTGCTCATCGTCAGAGAGGAAGCGTCTCTCTCCGGAAAGAATGCGGGTCTTAAGTGTGTCGCACGTCTGGTTTCCTGAAGGGGACCTGCTCTTGTACCTTACAAAAGGTTATTTAAGCAATGTGTACTGCTGATAGCTTTATAATTTAAAAGCTTCATTCGAACTTGTAGGTACCCCTGAAACCGTGCGTCAACTACACCAAGAAATATAAAAGTTTATATCGCTATCTGTCCAGGATAAGCACCTAGAAAATGGATAGACCGAATAACATTTTCAGATTATTAAATGCCTTTATAATTCATTTAATTACACGTAATACAATCACGTTCTTCTCCCATTACACATATTTATTGACACACACACCTTTCACAGAACCGCAAGTGTGCCTTCGTATTGTTACGATTACGATTAGGCTGCTGTCCTTCTGGAGCTGAAATTCACTCCTTTAGTCTAACATTAAGAATCGAATACAACGTCCTTTAGGTTTTATATTCTATTTTCGTACAATCAAACGAGTGGCCTGTTATAATTACGATAAGTTACTTATCAATTACGCGTTGTGATGGCATGCAAAAGATATAGGCTATCACAGTGCATCGTATCAGAATCCACAGATTAGAGACTTTCAGTGTAAAAATGACTGTTGATCAGGGTCAGGCGAAATCCCCTAATTTTCTACGCTAGTTAGAGGCAAGATGTCTGCGGTACAGAAGAAGCTGTGAACGAGGAGTCACTATTCACCACGACGGCGGAATGTAACCCAGCTGTGACATGTGTATCTGCGTCTGGCCCCAGGCTGACACCTTCACCCCGTGTGAGACCAGAGACTGAAGAAGCGAAGATACCAGAGATAACAGAACAGCCACTTCCGTGGGCATTCGGCCACCTTATTTTTGGTCTCGGTCCCCAGGTGTGTGTGTGTGTGTGTGTGTGTGTGTGTGTGTGTGTGTATATATATATATATATATATATATATATATATATATATATATATATATATATATATATTCTACATTTCTTCAAATTGAAAGCAAAGAGTCTGAGTTTAAGGTACCCAGGACTTTGCAGAAAACTTCATTGCTTGGACCATTGAGGATGAACTGTGAATAACCGCGACTTTAAACTCCCCAGTGAAAATGTAAACATCGTAAAAACCGCTCCTGCTGCTGTTTATGACGGGTTTCTGGTGGTAAATCTTTTTCTGCTCCTCGGGTTAAGTGAAAACAGTTCGTTTAAACCTGTCAACAAGGTGTACATTGACACTTGTCTTTTTACAACGAGGAATATCACTTATAAGTGTAGATCACAAAATGTAATTTCTAAAATAAAATATAACGAACGTACGTGCACATGGAATCGGAGGTAGTTAAGCATGCCGCAAAAAAATTTACACAAGACACTACATCTATGTTGCGTTAAGGTTCTGCAAATCCTTTCTCAGCGTAAGTCAAAGTTATAGTTCTAGAGGTTAAAACAATAAATGATAAAACGGATAGGTAAAAAGGTTCAGTACTTACAGAAGTGCACGTGAAAGTAAGGAAAACCAAGAAATGTAAGCGCCTCATATTTATTTCACGATCAACTTTTCCAAGTGCTGACACTCCGTTACCCGGTAATGAATCGAATTCATAAATCCCAGACCGAAAATACTTCTGTGATCCCAAATCTAAAAAGGTATATTAGAGGTTTTAAGATCCGTTGAGATGAAGTGATCACGAATTTGGTCATGAAATCCCCAGCCTCCACTCCGAAAGTGACAGGGAAGTAAAGGGGACTCACTCGAAATGCGCTACATTATGCGCGTGCTACTCTGGGTGTGGGTGTGTGTGTGTGTGTGTGTGTGTGTGTGTGCGCGTGGGTGTGGGGGTGCAGGATGCGGGATAGCAGCGTCCGTAACAGTCATAAAATGTAGCTATTACATGATGCAGGAGATGCAACCGAAATAAGTTGCATCAACGTCCTCGAAACGGGATTGCATTCGCGGTTGATAACGGCGTGTTTTCCCGTCTGATTAATCAACCTCAAACAGTAAACTGGTACAGAAATATTTTATGCGTATATACTCATATGGAATCAACGAAATGCGCCACATCGAACTCCAGAATGTTATTTAAAATTTCTTTTTCAGTACAGTTACTTAGCACTTTTTCTTCAAGATTGACTGACCACGTTATTCATCTTGAAATCAACTTTTTCCAATTGTACAGTCTAGTAGGCCTATATATAAACAAATATACACACGTAGGCTAGTATTTGTGTGCGCGCTCATGTATAGGCTACATTACATTGTGCCCCTCCAATGTGACAAATGTGTAATTGATTATTTTGACTTTGAGGACATTTTTTCAGTCCTCCCAAGGGAAACTGAACTTTATAAAATTCTGTGAATGCAATCAAAAAACTAAAATAGCCGAAAGTTTTGTTTTTTGTTTGCTTACTTATGGTTAATTACATGGTTGCGTAGGGGTTAAGATTGCCTTAGTCGGTATTAGGGTTTTCACGATAGAAATAAATGGAGATTCCCCATAAAGATATAGGTGTGTGTGTGCGTGCGCGCGCGCGCGTGTATGCGTGTGTGAATGTGTGTGTGTGTTTGCATGCTGAAACCCTAGGCTGACTAGTCGGATTGTCTCAAAGTCTCTTGAATTTGTGTCTCCTACATACACTACACTTGCGGATTATGACTTTTAAATCATTAACCGGGAAAATACTACCAGTTGTACCTTTCTGGTTAAAGTATAGGATACATTTTTAATTAAATTCAATATTATAGGAGATGTCGACTAATTATTCTAAAACTGGCCCAGCGAAGGTGGGGGCCTCGGCACACAGGAATACGTTTTCAAGCACAACAGTCACGTCGTTAAATATACCGTCGTATCTAAGTTCCAGGTCATGTCTTACGATGAGGAGAATGCATAATAATCAAAATGTATACATTTCACTTCCAGACACACATGGTTGTTGCGGTTTGGTATCAGACAGATCGGTACCGTCCGCTGCTCCAGACAGCGCTGATCCCGTTTGGTGTCGCTGAGGAAATGAACGATGCCGCGACAGCAGAAGCCGGAGCCCTCGCTGCCGGTGGGGGCGGTGCCCGGAGCACAGGAACAGATCTCAGCCCTTTTACTCCAGCAAGGCAGAGCAGCATCTCAGCCTGGCCTGCCCTCACCGCCAAATACGACGGAGACGCAGCCCACTGGGATGCAAGCATGTCCCATTCATGACCGCGAGGTGATAGTGTGTATAGTCATTCATTTAAAACTTGTCTCCAACTATTTTGCAAAGTATGAATACTTAATTCAAACGTCGACAGTATAAATGGATGGACGACTAATAATCATAGGTCACCGCTATCATATTATCAGAGGAATCCTTGATTCAGAGAGCCGGGGTGGGGGGGGGGAGCAAGAACATGCCAGCATTCTGTGGTGGGGCTGAGGACTTGTATCCTCCCCCCTGCCCATTATAAATCTTCATCTAGACAAATAATATTTACACATAAGAGCAGGACAGCTGTACCCTTCCCTGTTATTGTAATAAACACTTGGCAGCTCTGGGATATGCCCCCCCACTGTGACGGGCACCTGGCACTCTGTGTCCTTAAGAGGCACGGGGGGGGGGGGGCTTTATCTGACACCCAGCACCTGCCCCTGTGCCAGCAGTGTGTCTTTTCGCAGCTTGGTGACATTCATGGTCCACTTCACCCCCATCTAGAACAGAACAAGCATAGCAATGGGTGTGTGGCTCAGTGGGTTAAGCCTGTGTGTCTGTGACCGGAAGGTTGCTGGTTTGAACCTTGGCATTTCAGCTGGGACCTTAAGCAAGACCCTTAACACACACACCACCCCCCCCCACCAAATATTTCAGGGGTGCTGATGTAGTACAATGTATGTGTGTGAATAGGAAATAAAGGACCATTTCAGCTGAAAGATTAGCTCACAGGCACGTCAACATTTTATTAACAAATTAGGCAGTATCCTTATCAGAGGTAGAAATTTCAGGTCCAGAAAGTACAAATCCAGACCAAGATTTTCTTTCATCCAACCAGTTGAGTACTCTGTGACTGTGAGTCTTTATACTCAACTGATTGGTTGAAACAAAGTCTGGAGTTGTACTCTCTGGACCTGAAATCTCCACCTCTGATCATTATCGAAATTCATACACTGTTAGAAAAAATAATATCAATTTGTACCTTTGCTTGTCACTGGGGCTGTACCCTCAAGAGTCTGCCAATTGTGCCCAAAGTTGTAGGTAAATGTACCTTTTAAGAAACAGAAATGAACATTTTTGTACCATTGGTGGTACATTAATGTTGTTTGTACCTTGGGGATGTTCCTCAGAGTCCATTTCTATACCTTTTTAAAGAAAAAGGAGGATGAGTTCTATACCACCCAACACTCAGAGCCACGCTAACCTTTTCTACAGAACCAGCGAGACACTTCACTCAGCTGGACACCATACTATTGCCACAACACATCTGAACGCACCATTCACAGCCATCATTATCACACCCAGTCAAGCAAAATACCTCATGGGGTCGCTAGAACCAAAGTCTCTAAAAGAGTTTCTAATGGAAGCATTACAAGGACGCATTCTTTTTAGTACAAAATGAAACCAAAAAATTAAACTAAGCTTATCGGCTTCACCTGACTGTGCATGACAAGCCAGCCTGAATGACAAGCCAAGGCATGACAAGCCAGCCGTGTTCTGTGAAACCAAAGGCTAAGCAGCGTTCCACAACTCGGTGTTACACCACGACACGCACTCCCAGCCCCTCACCACCCCAGGGTCAGGGGGGGCTATGGTCCAATCCAACCCATTGGACCAACCCAGGGGGGAGTCACCCAACCCATTTCAGCTGATAATTAAATCAGGAAATAAACATGTTTGGGATGAAGTCAGATGGAAGAGTCACCAGCCGGACGATGTCCCACAGCACCAGCCCCCAGGTGCATCTGCATGTACTGGAATGGCTCTCCGTTCAGTCACACCCCAGGCCTGTGCTAGGAGGACTGCTGCAAGAGCGTTGTCAAGGTGAGGTGTGTATGAGGCTGCCACCTGACCCACAAGAGCTTAGAACAGCCATCAATACCCTGGCCAATTCAGACAGACATTTCCATCAAAATGCAAATTTTACCACAGACATAGGATTTAAAAATGTAGCGTACATAACTATTTTTAAACAGCTGGCCGAGTCCTTCCTTCATAAGATGAGACTTAACCCCTGAGGATATAGAAGCATGGTCGACATGTGATGGCTGCAGTAAGGATATGCTGATTTCACTCCAAATAGAAGCGCAGTGCTCGAACCCACAGCGCAACCAGCGCCTGTAAACAAACACGAACAGACCTTGAACTTGTAAATTCTAACTCGCGCATTAATGTAAATGCAGTTTAAACGTTTCAGGAAAGAATTCATTTATGTAAATGTGTTGGGAACTGTCTTGCTCAGGGCTAATTGCGGTGCCAGCGGCTTTAGGTTATTCTATTCCCAACAAATTAGGTGTATTTCCCCCTTTTCCTGCCTGGGAAGGCTGCCTGTATTGGGAAAAGTAACAGCGCCCTCTTCTGGGAGAAATCGCTTAAGTCAGTCATAGAGCATTTTTGCCCCATATATGCTGTCAGCTTCGATCAAATACCATTTGTTCCTCACTCAATTCCAGTTCGTTTCAGAAATTGCCACTCAAAATTGCAGCTAGATGGTAATGCAAATGACTATACTGATTTAAGAATTAGTTTCGTTTTCTGTGCTGAGGGCAGAGCCTTGCCTGTCACCACATCCACAAATTAGTACCTTTTAGTACTGCTGTAGCCATGGAGACCGGTCTATGTGACATTTGGGAAACAAGACATTTACAATTTAATGTTCTGAAAAAGGCATGTCTCTTCGCAAAAGCCTCAGACATGTCAGTACTAATATAACTGCATTTATTTAATTGCAGTCGCAATTAAGATTACATGTGAGTGTAGATTCGGCAAAGACGAACGATGAGGCTTTTACACGTCTTAACACTGGCAGTGTATTAGGAGCGAACGCCTGCTTTTTATACATTAGTCTTTCACTGGCGAAAAAGCTAGGCTGGTTTCTTTGTGGAGGGAGGTTGAGGAACCTAGATGCCAGCAAATACAGGTACCTGGCCAGGACCCCTCCGGAGAAAAGGGTCGTGGATCCTCCAAGTCGAATGGAAACAGCTGCGAGTAGTTGGTTCACCCGGAGTTTTTGTGAATAAATTAATCTGTATATGGTTGCATCCCCGATTTATTGAACATGTCACTTTCCAATACAGTACCTATACTTAGTCCTGTTTTACCCAATCAGCCTTCCCGAAACTCAGCTAGGAGAGCTGATGCATGCCTTCCAAATAAACCGATTCTGAACAATATTAAGAATAATAAAGCAGGTAGCGCAACTCGATAAATTCAGAAGTTTATAAATGAAATAATCTTGCACGATTTACCGCCACATTGAGGATTTCTCACGCCCATAGCGCAATCGGAAGCTATTTACTGCTTTCTTTTCCATCCTCCATAATAACTCCAAAAGTCGCCACTTACACTAACAAGCAGACACCTCGTTTTAAAACTGCAATCGCACGGACGCCTTTGTTCGTATAACAGAGAGGATAAAGTTAGATCACACACAGGGTGTCTCCATTATGGTGTTTGTATAGAGAGAAAGCATTTGGTCACGATGATGGAATGGCATACCTATCATGGCCTTTTACGCATAGGTTCAAGACCACGTGGAAAACAAAGTGGTAAATGGCACACATCCTAAATGATTATTCTGGTATCTTTTTCC